GGGGGGAAGGGGGGGGCTTTTGCCATTTTTTCCATCTCTCTCCCCTTCTCTCTCTCCATCCACCTCTCTCTCACTCTCTCTCTCTTTTTTCTCTGCTCTCCTTTCTCAAAAAAGCCATGACGGCGATCCCGCGATCCATCTTCGCCTCCGCGCCATCTTTATATTATTTCTAATTTATTTTATTTTTTTCTTCTTGTGGATGTCAAAGGCGTTGGATGAAGATATTTTTTGCCCCACCGGAGTCTCCTCTCTAACCCCGGCTCTCCCCGATGTGATCCGCGCTGAACGCCGCCGCCGCCAGCCACCATGTCTCGCCGCAAGCAAGGCAAACCCCAGCACTTAAGCAAACGGGATTTTTCGCGTAAGTAAAGATGAAAAAAAAGAAAGAAAAAAAAATGTCATTTATGGCTCCTTTTCAATTCATTCAGCAAAAAGGGGAACAGGGCAGCAAAGCAGGAGCTTGTGGACACCGGACGCACCGCTCGGACCCGCGGTCAACTGGACTTAACAGCGTGGCGAGAAAGTGCGACACCTCCGTGCGTAAAAGCCGCTCGGAGATTCCCCCGAAGCCCGAAAGAGAGAAAAAAAGTTTGTGTGTGGGTATACAGCCGTTACAGCTTCTCTGTTACACGGCGAGAATGTGCATTCATAGGCTGTGAAATGCACTCGCTGTGGCTCCGGTGCCCCCACGGTCGCTCCGGTCAGTGGAAACGCGCAGGGCTCCCGGTAGCAGAGCGCGTCCTCTCCGCGGAGCTTCGTGGAGAAATCACCCCCCCGGAATATCGCTACCTGATAGTTCTGCAGGCAGCTTTTTCATCTGCTCTCTCTCTCGTTCTATTTTTGGATTATTTTCAGAAAAAAAAACAAAAAACTTGGAGGTGGATTTTTGGATCGAGGGGGGAAAAATCTCGTGTCCGACTGTTTACAACTGCCTCCCTCGAACAGCAGTTCAGCGATAGAGACAACACAAATCGATTTATTGTTACACACTTTTTAAAATCCTAGTGGCCCTTATGTAAAGGCTGTTATTGATGTTTAGTTTAGACGAGGTTTCGTCCTGAAACAGTCAGCAGATTCTCTGCAGCTCAGAGTTAGAGACATGAAACAGCAACAGGACAGCAGCATATTTAGTCCTGTCTTTTTATTTTTTCCCCACAAAGACAAATTCGGACCAACTAAAAAAAAAAAAAATCAACTAAAGATTTTTAAGCTTCCCGTACGGTTAAGGTAAGACATAAATATCAGCTCCTTGGTGTGTTGCAGCTGCAGTGTGCGAAAAGAAGCGACTAAATTCCAAAAATGTTTAGTTGAGTCGACAGAATCGGTCTTTACGCACAGCGTTTATTTATCACCAAATCTTTATTTACTTCGAGTTAATTGGATTTATTTACACACACAAGTCTGATATGTGACGAGAGAGCAGATGAGTGTGTTTGGAAACTGCAGGGCAATTGGCAAAGTGGCGTTTATCACCGCACCATGTGCCGTACTGTGCGCCACCTCGCAGCGTTTCAGCGTCTCTCCAAGTGTTCGCAAACATAAAACAAGAAGATATTTGGGCATCTTTACGCATCAGTGCTTAATTATGTTTCGGTATGTTGACTGGCTGTCGCCTGTGTTTGATTTGGAGTGAGAGAGAACGTGTGTGTGCGTGTGTCTGTTTGTGTGTCCACTTGGGTGACAGCGCAGTCACCATGGCCATGTGCCGTCGCTAGGAGGCAGAGCGCGATCAGAAAATCCGACTCTGAAATTGAACCTGACGAGTTTCACCGCCACCCCTATCTACACGGGCTACTATTTGGCGATCTCTTTAGAATAAAGGGAGAGTGTACAAGACATGAGGAAGGGACGAGGGGGGGGAGAAAAGAAGAGAGGGAGGGAGGAGGACCCCCCCCCCGTTTCATCTACAGTTCCTCTTCATCACCTCAAACCCACTTTCTCTCCCTGTTTCTCCTTTTTTTTGTGGATCACATTTTTGCATACATGCAGGCTGCAGTTCGGATGTGCAGCTCCGCTCTAATGTGCCTGCAGACTTCGCCTTTTACCCCCTCAAACCCCACACCACATACACACATTTCTCTTTGCTGCTCACTCAGTCAAATTTGTCACTAATGGAGCTCAGATTTCGGCCTGTCGCTCTAAAGCAAACATTACACCCTGATTAGTTCTTGTTTTTAGCACCTGTATTTTCACTTCTTATTTTTTCTCACAATACTATATTTATAGCAGATAGTTCAGAGCACACTACACTTCCAGTGCTCGCTTCTAAACAGCACGATCAGGATAAATTGAACTAGTAAAATGTCCCAGCAGTGTATTTTTTTTCAATATTACAGCTTGAAAATTTAGATTAAATTCCATGATTAGTAATTTCCACATTTTTACAAGATGGAAATATTTTTATATAGCTTATGTTGGGGGGCAGAGAGCCAGAGTTCCACCAGTTAAGTTTTCTAATTTTTTTTAGGTGAACTGTTTTTAAATTGTTCAGTCAGGTGTAACTTTAAAGATCCAGTCTGATGAGATGACTTGTACCTGATAGAACGTTTACACCTTGATTTCTGGTGTCATTTTTTCTCTCTCCTGTAGGAAATGTGATTGCATTGTTCGACATGTTTTGAGATGTGATTTTTGTGTACAGACACATAATCCTCCTCGTGCTGTTTATTTCAGCTGCTCTATAAATAGACACAAAAGAGAAATTTATACGTGTTTCTGAAATTTAGCTTTGCATGGAGGCCCGCTTTGTATTTAAAAAAAATAAAATCTTATTTAGGTCTCTTACTAACCCTTCTCATGCTCCATTAAATCCAACAAAATGTTTTTTTCATACCCCAGATATCCACTCTTGACTTCAACTTTAGAGGTGAGGGGCTTATGCAGCTTTCATTAGATTTTTTTTTTTTATTGTTGTTTTATCCGGTGAATTTAATGCCCCCCCTCCCCACCTCCTCCTGAGAGCTGTTGTGTAACTTGCGTTGCGTTGTGTTGACCTGAAGTTAAATCAAAGAGGAGAAGGGAAGGGGGGGGGAAGAAGAGGAGGAGGAGGAGGAGGAGGAGGAGGGGTGCGTGTATGTGGGGGTGTTGATGGGGTAGTGGTTGGTGCAAGCTGGGAATTTATCATGTTATCTTCATGTCCCAGTTTGCGCACAGATGTCGCGCAGGATTGCGGCATTCAAATGATAGTTCCTTGAGGGGATGTAGTTCACATTCAGACCCCCCCTCCCTCTTTTTCTCCCTCTCTCTCTCTCTCTCTCTCACACACACACACACACACTTGCATGCATTCCCACACACACACACTCAGCTACATGCACAGGAGCCCTATCCTATCCCTGTTATCAGACAAAATCTGTACCAATCACCCAGACAGTGAAAATTAAAATCTATTTTTTGATTCTCAGTGGTCTTAAGTTCATTAAAATGTGAAATTGGCGGCTGAGTAAAGAAGGTCAACATGCATTAGGCGGCTAGCACAGAGTCAGACTCTTCACCTTGGACTGGAAGATTTTCTTTAAAAGAGGGACAGTAAATTATGTTCTCCCGTTTCGCTTCCCTAATTCAGCCGACCGCTCTGTTCGCTCTGCTCTCCCTCCACTGCAGGACGAGTCTGGGCCCTACAAAGGGCTTCTTAAAAAAAGTAGTCAGGAGTTAATCCGGCCTCGGAGGGGTGAGGAATCGGGTTGAACGGCTCATTTTGGGGCGATTTCCCGCTGTACAAGAGGCTGGTATCTAAGAACTATAAGTCAGGCACATGTAATCGAGGCAGAGGGAGAGTTTTTCCTTCCCCCAGACACACTCTCTCTCTGTGCCGCCTGTGTTCTCTTCCCCTTCCCCGCCACATATGTTGGACATGTTTGTGACAGTTTTCCCTTCTGCTGATTACAGGATCAGACCCTGTACAAACAAGGCTAGGCAAGTCAAAGTCATCCACATATTAAGTTTTTCAGTGAATGCTGTGTTTAACCATCATTTTCTAAGCTGCCTCTGTCATTGGCTACTAAATTGTTGTCTTTGAGCAATCTGATTGGAGCTTTGCAGCTATTCAGGATATTATTTCCCACCATTTATTCTTATGATGTGTGATCCAGATCACCTTGCACTGTACTTATTTTTCCTGCATTACATGCATTTCTATCATTACAAGGCACATTTTCTCACCCCCTTATTGTGTGTACCGCATGTCAGGCTTTTATTTAGCTTCGTCTCTCTAACTCTGGTCCTCCATGTGACACAAGGAGAAAGGTTTTATGGACTGTTCCTTGTCATCAATTCCCACAAATAGTTGTATCAATAAGTTCAAATTACAGGAGGAAAAATGGAAAAACATAAACATGTGGTTAGTCCTTTTCTGCTCACAGTAAGCGTCACCTTCTAATTTCTTCTTTTTTCGCTCCTTCTTTCCTCCCACCCCTCTCTTCTTCTCCCCCTTCCTCCCTGCTTGTTCCCCCCTGTGCCTCGCCAGCAGCCGAGCCCCTCTCCACGGTCGTCGTCTCGTCGGAGGAGCTGTCGGAGCGTTGCTCGGAGCACTCGGAGGAGAGCGGCAGCCTCAACGGGCACCACCCGGGCTCGACCGTGGGCCGGCTGGCCCGGCTGGGTCACGACGCTCACCCTTCTCTGGAGCAGGACCTGCTGACCTGCGGCCAGTGCCAGGCCACCTTCCCCCTGGCGGACATCTTGCTCTTCATTGAGCACAAGAGGAAGCGATGCCACGGGCCACCCTGCCTGGCCGTGGGCAGAGGGCTGGACAAGCCCCCCTCGCCCTCCCCCGGCTTGGCCCTCACCCCTTCGCCCGCACTGGGCTCCCTGCGCAGCCGGAGGCCAGTGGAAGTGGGCGTCCAGGCCACACTGGCAGATGAAGACGATGACCGGTTCTCATCGCCCCGGGGGATTTGCCCTAAACAGGAGCCCCTCCCAGGTAACCAACACACACCACCTTTGTCTAGATGTGACCACAGCTGCTCTGAAGTAAAACAAAGAGGCAGCAGCTTTCCTGAGGCAGGGGTGTCTGTGTATCGGCTTGAAGAAACAGGGACATTTAAAGCACAATCAGACAGAATATAGAAACTAGACAATAAGTAGTTCACTCTTTCCCTTAATCATTTTCAGAAATGCCACTTATCGAGGCATAAAAGAGCTCCTACAGCTTGGACGTCTTTGTCCCTTTCTGATGGTTCTGGGTGTGCTTATTGCCCTGGATGGGTGTGCATTTGTGGATGTGTGTGTTTTCTGCAACGTCAGGTCTTGTTCTCATATCACTGACGCATTGTGCCTGTGTTGTGGTCCGAGAAGCCAGCAGCAGAGTCTGCAGTTTAGCCTACATGTTGCCTATGAGTGCTCCACCAAACCTCCAAACCTTGAAAGGGGCTGTAGTTGTCCAAACAAGAGTTTTTTTTTTGTTGTTTTTTTTTTACGGAGGGGGTTGTGCACGTGCCAGGCAAGAAATCTGACTGGCTGAGACGTGTTCGTGGGGTTTGTCAGATACACGACAGACAGAAGGACGTCACAGGTGGGGAGGAAACCTGAGAGAATACGCCTCTGTTCTGACACGCACACTGGTTAGCTTTGGGATGGCTTTCTCTTCATCCACGTGTGTGTGCGAATAGTCGTCTGTTTTTATGATGTATTGTAAAGAGGCACGATTTAACTATCAACCTTCAACTGACTAGTTGTCCTTCCACTGATCCACTGCACAAAGTGTGTGCCAGTAAATGTGTGTGTTTTCCCAGTTCGCCCAGTTTGGCCACACTGACCAAATCCCACAGGCCAGTGGCAAAGAGACATGGGTGACCTTGACTTTGTGGTACCACTGGTCAGCGTTGGTGTGTGCGCAGATGGAATCAGTGGCTGAATTGTGTGTTTGTGTGCGACTCTCAGTCTGGGGAGTAACTACGGCCTCTTTCTGGGATTGGGTGCACAGAATGTGTGTTCTTGCATAACGTGTGTGTGTGTGTGTGTGTGTGTGTGATTTTCGTGTGTGTTTCCCTCTCATGTGGCCCTTAGCAGATGTGTCCTGCTCTCGGTGTGGTTTCCCCCTCTTCCACTGCCACATCTTGCCCGACTAAATGCAGCCCAGCTCGCCATCGCTTTCATTCTTTCCCCTCTCTGAGTTTACCTCCGTACCAAACTAGGTACAACGCACAGCTCTCCTCCAGTTTTATCTGCTTTTCTTTCACCAGTGCGAGAACGAAACGAGAAGCGAGCAGAGAGAGGGAAAAGATAGTTTAAGTTTTGCTCATGGAGGGAAAGTCGTTTATTTAAAGCGTCTTAACACCACTAATTATTTGTTGCAGCGCCATTTATTTTCTTCCTTGTGCATTTTAATTAGCAGTAGTTTTTAGTGGCGGGCTGCCTGTACTAAATTAGCCGTTACAGAGAGAGAGAGAGATGAAATAGAGCAGCGGAAACACACGAGCAAAACACACGCTTCATCGTTTTGCAGCTTTGAATGCAGCTCAGGAATCCTAAAATGTTGCAGTTTGTTTCCCATTTTGGCATTTGAGGAAATAAGCACAATAAGCTGTTTGAGGCTGCGCTTGTCGTTTCTTGTCATCTGATCTCTGTTCCCACGATTAAAATGGACACTTACAGAAAGTGGTAGATGAGGAAAATTGTCGCCAATTTAAGATGCGTTTGACCTTTGACCTTTGTCTGGAGGGCACTAGAATCAGGAGAACGTGTGTGTTTCTATTTTTTTTTTTTTAGGTAGTGTTTCTGTCTATATGTTTCAACACCCACACACACACACACACACACACACACACTCACTCCCTCACAGACACTCACCAGCTAAACTGGGTTATTAGAGCGATTTACATCATAATACAGGCGTCTGGTTGCTTCAATAGCGTTGTGTGTGGGAACGTCTTGGTAGGAACAGCTGTACACTCAGACAGGAGAAGAAAACAGGACAGCAGCGTTATATATCTTGTCTGATGTTGACGTCAAGCTGAACAGCAGACAGACCGAGCATTATTAAATATCTGCCGTTTGGAATTCAAGACTGAAAAAGGAAAACTCCAGCCTTAAAACTGTCCATCTGTTTTATTTACATCTTTAATCGAAGCTTCTTTTTTTTTTTTATGGAAGCTTTCTCAGCCGCTGGACACACACCAGCACAAACACCACCTCACATGCGGGATTTCGCAACACATCCATTCCGATCGCTGATAATTAAAGCCAGTATATTCCTCCTCCCTTCCAACCCCTCGACCCCGGCTTTCATCCTAATTCACCCCAAACTGTCACGGTGAAGTAAATATACAAAAAAATAAAAAACAAAAAATAATCTGCTGGAATTTCAGCTGTGATTGTAACCATCCAAAAGCATTCCTAATGACAAAAAAAGGGAGGCGTTCGAGGAATGCATGTGTGTTTCTTATTTGTAAATGCTGGCTTGGGGTTGCACTGTCTCGTTTCTGACAGCACATAAGGCCTCCACTCACTGAATGAGCACCAGTGCAGCAACAATTGAACACATATTCAGAGTTAAGCACCTTTTATTTTTTAACATGTGCCAATTTCATACTGGTGATAGACCTTTTTATTTTAAATTGATCACAATTTCTATTGGGTGTCAGTTTAAGCATCCTCATTACTCATTCTGTATTCATTTTAATCTGTATAAATATGACATCTTTTAGACTTTATCTTCGTTATTTTTAAAAAATATTATTTTCTCTGTTTTTAAAAAAAAAATATCGCTGAATATTTTCCGCTTCGTGTTGCAGAAATTTCTCAAACCCTTTTTCCTTTATCTCGGCGTATGTTTTCCTGCATGTATCTGCCTATATAATGTGATGGCTGTATGGCTGCTTGTTGTAAAATATGTATCTGCGTCTGTGGTCAGAGAGCTACAGAGCTGCTCCGGCTGCTGCGAGGCTCAGAGAAACACAAAGCGTCGGACTTGTGCCGGAACGCTGCTATTTACATATCAAACAGCTCCGACCGAGGAGAGCCGAGACATTACCTGTGTGTGTGTGTGTGTGTGTGTGTGAGTGTGTGTGTGTGAGAGTGAGAGAACACTGTACAGGCAAAATGCCCGATCAGTGATGCAAAAAGGCAGCGTACCCGCCCACCCACACCACACACAGACACTCACGCACACACATGGTTAGTGCTCTCTCTCTTGCCCATTTATTCTATTAATCCCTGACTGAGATGAAAATTCTGATTATAATCCCTGAGGCGCCCCTCATTCAGAAACAGCATCGCTAATGTCTCAAAAGAGAGGCGTTTGCATGTGTGTGTGTACGTTTCTCTGTGTGAATGGCCATGCCTTGCTTGCTTTTTTTCTCCCCCCCCTTTTTTTTTTCTTTTTACCCAAAAGTGATTATGGTTGGGGGGGAAAAAAAATAAAAATTCTTGGCTTGAAAATTGAAATTTAGAATGAATTCTTTGTGGATTATTTCTACAGTAAATACAATTGCTGCTGTCCAGTTTGCCAATTGATTTCTCATAATTAGCATCAAGAATTTAATCCTTCCCTCTACGGAAAATCAGTCATAATATGTGTGTTAATGAGCTTGAATTGATATGTGGCCAGTACAAGGAATTACTCATCCTGCTGACCAGTGATTTCTATGAGAAATATTGGCTGATAAGCTGCATTAGCCTATCAATATTAGCTCATTAACACAGATATTATCACTACTACAGCATGATGATAAATCCAAAAAAATTCTTGACTAATTTATCAGCCACATTCATCATTTTTTGCCCAAAAAAAATAAAAAATCCCAGCGTCCTGGTCAGCCCACTGAAGAGTCATCCTGGCTGGAAGCCTCGTAACATGAGTATTGTTAGTCTATGATCTACTGATTAGCAATTAGCTTATCATCACTGGCTAACGCTACCCACCTCAATACACATTAGTGCATTTTTAACACCCATTCATTGTCTGGCTCGGTGTCAGATCGCTCTCTCTCCATCTCATGCCTATCCTCTCCCTCCTCCTCCTCTTCTTTTTTTTTCATTTTCTCTTTTGGCTCATGCGTCTCTCTCTCGTTCTCTTCCCTGCAACATTAGCAGTCAATGCAAATCCAGGACAGCCAATTGATACTGAATCAATTACAGTATGTTTGGTGTGCGTATGTGTGTGCGTGTTTCATGCTGTGGCACATCCCGGCGAGCCCACAAAGAGATTTCACACGCTGGCTGCCATTACTAATCTATTGTTGCTCTCTCTTTATGTCTGTCTTTCTTTATTTCTCCACATAAGATTTTATTTAGTGGACTCAAGTGCGGCGTTTGAACAGTGGGAATACGGCTGTGTCGGCATTTTGAACGAGCTCGCAGAATGTAAACACGGTGGTGTGCGCACAAAACATCAGCGGCAGGGTGGCTCGTACAGCGGGCTGCTGCAAAAGCTAATAATCTACCACCAAGGCCAACGGGCTGCATTGTGTTTTATATTTAGCGCTCACTAAAAAAAAAAAAAAAGAAAAAAAAAAAAGAAAACCTTCTGCATATTGACAGCATGTCCAGGCGGAACCAAAAAAAAAAAAAATGTAGATTTGCTGCTGACAGCATCAGACAGCAGCAATAAAACAAAGCTGGAAATAGAATATGGAGCACTTCACGTGAATTTTAAGACTCGTACCGTTGCTTGCCTCCAGTCTGTGCTGGGGAAAGTCCAGGCCTGTTGATTTATCCTTTATCCTGTTTAGTAATGCTCACAGCACACACACACACATACACACACACCCATATTTTGTTACATAAGATAGTATTAGGGCAGCAGCATTGAGTCGCTAACTGAATCTAGCCCTGCTTCTTCATTTAGAGGGCTACTGTAGCGATTTAATACTGCACTTTTATGAAGTTGGGGGCAGCAGCAGCAGCAGCAGAACTCCTGACTCTTGACGGTTGTTGGAGCCAACGTACATACTGCAATTAACACTTTTTTTTAACCTTCCC